ACTTCGTACCACGTGAGCTAATGATAGGTAAGTAGGAAGAGGAGCTCCACATGAATATTTAGACTGGAAAAATCAATGGAAAACATCACCAGTTTTGCCTTTTCCAAGCATTTGTGACGCCGTAATGGTCTTCGTAACATGACAATGGGTAATGTAACCCACATAACACCAGGTAACACACTGAAGTGTGTGTATTGGTGTTATATCACAACCTATCTGAGTATATAATAGAATCCACACATACTAAACTTCAATTTTTTAGTGTGGCAAAATTTAAATCGTTCTTTGGATAACTTTCCGTTTACCTGTACATATCAATTTAATATCTGTAAATTTAGATAAACGTTGCCATCCTCTTTGGCTATTATTCGTTTCAAAATATAACTAGATCAACACAATTTGATACATTATTCAACAGATGACTTTTGTTGCCAGATATTTTTAAACTAATTTATCTCTTAAAACACACTTTTCACCTTCTTATGTATTCAAGGACATTTGATATAGTGTCCTATATCACTAGAATACGCCATTTCAAGGTGCTTTTCAATACACTGATATACAATTGTTAAGCACTCATGACGTCACCGGTGACAGGTGTTGCCTTATCAGACACTTACTATTTTCTGCATATGATTCTACATTGACACACGCCTGCATGTACCTACGTCCGACTGTGCATGTCCTGGATGAGTGTTGGTGTACTGTTTTGTGGAGAGACTGCCCCTCCAATAACATTTTTTTCCGTAATACAGCTTCACTTGCACGCTACAGCACAGACACTGTAGCAACCACAGACAATGTAGCAACCACAGATATTGTAGCAACCACAGACACTGTAGCAACCACAGACACTGTAGCAACCACGTACACTGTAGCAACCAGACACTGTAGCACCCACAGACACTGTAGCACCCAGACACTGTAGCAACCAGACACTGTAGCAACCACAGACAATGAAGCAACCAGACACTGTAGCAACCACAGACAATGTAGCAACCACAGACACTGTAGCAACCACTGACACTGTAGCAACCACATACACTGTAGCAACCACAGACATTTTAGCAAACACAGACACTGTAGCAACCAGACACTGTAGTAACCAGACACTGTAGCAACCACACACTGCAGCAACCACAGACACTATAGCAACCACAGATAATGTAGCAACCACAGACACTAACAACCACAGACACTGTAGCAACCAGACACTAGCAACCAATCCAGACCAATCCATACTCCACCTGGGATATGGAAGTTGTACGGAAGGGAGAAAACCTATACTCTACATCAAATGCTATGAAAACTTTAGGGATTAAACACCTGGCATCTATCTGTATGGGGATTAAACACCCGGCCTCTATCTGTATGGGGATCAAACACCCGGCCTCTATCTGTTTGGGGATTAAACACTCGGCCTCTATCTGTGTAGGGATTAAACACCCTATATATGTGTGGGAATTAAACACCCTTTATCTGTATGGGGATTAAACACCCGGCCTCTATCTGTGTGGGGATTGAACACCCGGCCTCTATCTGTGTGGGGATTAAACACCCTATATATGTGTGGGAATTAAACACCCTTTATCTGTATGGGGATTAAACACCCGGCCTCTATCTGTATGGAAGGTCAAATCTGATGGATGCAAAATACACAGGACTTCCTCAGCACAAGGAAATAGTAAATCACTAACAAATAAATCTTTAAAGCACACATGATGCGCATCATTGGTGTCTGCAGAAACAACCAATGGTGTTGTCATTGTAGATGAGAACAGACAGATTAAAGGAACGAACTGACAGGAAGAAAACAGCAGATCAAATTCAATGCAATGTATTTTTTTTGAAGAATTTTAAAGTATTTTAACTGAATTTTAACTAATATTGAAAGTAATTTCTACTTTTTGATTTTCCGTTCATTTTTTTCTTCCCTGTATTGAAAACTTTATTCTCGCAATTTCCAACACTTTTCAATGAAGTTTCTTTTCTTGAACAAAATGGCAATAAAGGTAATTATATGAGATTCTGTGTGAAGCAAGAACTGTGTTTTCAAACATGTCACTGAATGATCAATCTGCAGGGAGAACCAGGCAGGGTAATTCACTTCTCTAGGGTTCGGGTGTGTATCTGTAGGATGAGGGGTTTGTCAGGGATTGACATAAGATGATGACAATTGATAGATGATCGGAGATAATGATATGGACTGAATCAGGGTTAACTACTGGTGTTCGGGTGTTAGTAGAGCTTGAATATGAACATTCTTTAACATCATCACCGACCCTTATCACAGTACTGCAACATCCAATACATATCAATAAAACATTTCATACTAGTAGGTACGCTACAGGTTTATTAATAAAAATAATACTAATAATAATTTGAGGTTTTTATATACTGGTTTATCACAACCTAGTTCTTAGGTCGTCTCAAAGCAATTCACAAATTATTATTCGTGGTTATAGGGCCTTTGCAACCAGCGAATATCTTTCTCAACTCCCTGGGGAGCATACAGGCGGTGCTGCCATATCGGCGCCTACAGCTAGCATTCAACAATTCTAGCACTGCCCAACCACATACTCATTTACAGCTGAGTAGACTGGAACAACCAGAGTAAAGTATCTTGTTCAAGGATACTACACAGTGCCGTGACGTGACTCAAACTTGCAACCCTTTCGTCACGAGCCTGGCGTCCTACCAGTAGACTACCGTGCCACCATATTCTGTGAGACAGGCATTATAAGGGGGTCTGGCAATATATTAAAGGGATAAAGTAAAATGGATTTTCGATGGAAAACAGCAAGGGACTAAAAAATGTTCACATCAGAAAAACTGTGAGGTTTAATGGAATCTTACCTGCCCATAAATCTGTAAAAAGAATACCCTCCGATTTAAGATCTTTGATATAATATCCAACAGGATGATACTTTATGAAAGATATTCCTTAGGTTAATATCATTACCAAATTTAGCATTTAACACATGCGTAGTACAATATGCAAACATATCATTTCATGTAATATTATATTTTATTTAAACTGATGTTAAACATATTTGGCAAATAATAGGATCAGGCTACCATTCATTTTACACAAACTGCATACGACTTACACATTTAACACATACCAAATAACTACAGATATCAGTTGCAAATTTAAGTGTGCAAAGTATAAATAAACCTCAAAAGTATTTGAACTAACTTATACTCCAATCCACTATAGTCAAAACTAGTGTTAAAACACCTTCTAACTTGTGTCCCTATAGTCCAGTGATGATAAGTTGAATGCTGCTCCTAAACAAACAAGTCCATGCAAGCAATAACTTAAACCCTTTCACCCCTATGTAACTTTAGTAGACTCTATCATGCATTGATCTGGATGAGTCCATTTTTGTCTACAGTGGTGAAAGGGTTAAATAAACTTTAGTAACAAAAAAGCTCAAATGACTCACACAGATCATTTTATCTTTGGCCCACACCTTTTATAATTTTGATATTTTGTTTCTTGCAAAAGTTTAATAGTTAACCTGCCAGGAATATGTAACAAACCTAACTTGAAACCTCACAATGTTGTCTGCTTAGAAAACAGCAAAAACCTCCCATCTCACACAGACAGTGTGTCTGTAAACGTCATTGAAACAACAGGCACAGGAAACCTTTGTTGCTCATGTGTTTTTTGGGTATGATCTAAACTAGACAAAGGAGTTTAAGATAAGACCATGTGGGGCATGGTGATGGTGGCCATCTCAGATTTCTTATTGATCAAAGAACGTCTCACCTAACCAAACTTTGGGGGGGATAGGGGGGATGAATAGGGGCCTTCGATATCATTAGATATTACAAAATTTATCAGACTCTCAATCAAACTTAGATCTTCAGAACCAATTCTGTAACGGACATATGGTTCTTAGAGTGTCTGCCACTCCTAGCAAAAATAAATCTATTTCACATTGCAAAATAATAAAAAATAAAAATACAAAATTGTGAGTTACCCATTGGATACAAGTATTTTGAAGGTTCTTGTTTTAATATAGTGTTTAAGGAATGTTTCGCCCATATAAATCTAACACAAATATCATAAACACATAGCTTTTCCATAATGGAATCTGCAATATACACAAATGTAACAAACAAAACAAATACAAAGTACAGTTCAGCAAGACAAAACATAGAATGCCAAGAGGCACTCCGTGACACTCTGTGTCAATACAGTGACACATCCACTCACAAAGTGAATGTTTAAAGTTGCCGTAGTACAAAACTAACTACAGGAGAAAGGTAGCACACATTTTTACAATAAAAAGTATAAAGATTCATGTCCTGCATCTTTTCTAAAAAAGAAACAAAAACTTAAATTATGCTATATAAACAATTTGAATGCCCTTATAGGGATTGGTAATAGGGTGAGTATCTGTTTGGTTATAAAGATGATATACCTGAGAGTGTGTGTTATTTATACTCACTGATAAATATCAGTGATAGGAAATTTCATTTCATCTTCCACAAACAATGAATTCATAAAATGCCACTGTTAACACTGAAAAAGCACTCTCTTAATTGCAAATCAAAGTATTTATAAAAATACAAACTATATGCGTAGTTCATGAAATACAGTATGAGATTGTACTTTTTTAAATACATGCCATTGACCGTCAATAATGACTTTGATGTTTTGTTCCAGACACCTTAGACTATTTTGGGACACACCTCTGATTGGTCTGTGGTATCCTCAAGGTTTCTGTGTGTACAGTAGTACAGGCTGGGACAACAACAGGAAGGCACGGATGTACAGGACAGACAAGGGTTTAGAGACAATCACACGTCACCAGCATTCGTATGCTGGAGCATGCAGATATAGTTAAAACTGCTTCCCTAATGTCATCGGCATTAGATGGTTCTGGAAGACTTCAAGCTTACAGCATTTCACTAAACTAAGTTTAGCAGTTCATTCTCATTAGTTGTTAGTCAGTAATCTACTTCGTTCATTCCTCTCCACGTCATACCCTTTGTTTGTTGTGGCAGGCAGAGCACGTATACAGCCAGAGTACTTCTCCACAATACAATATACCAACATTGAACTTCCCTGTTAAATACATAAAAACAAGATTTTTCAGTTATCTAATTGCTATTACTATCTAATCTAAATTAATAATTCTTCAACTGTTGTACTTTAATTTAACCAACTTTCGTTTCCAAAACATGTATGATGTACTTTAAAAGACTTCTGTGAGAAGACATAGTCTTACTATAAGGTATTCCAAGAAAAGTAAATAAGTCCTTCATAAATAATCCGTAACTAAATACCAATGGTCACCTAGTATATATATTACCAGCTGTCTCAGACTTGATGGCTGACCAGTGCTCCGAGTTGAACCCACATACCAGCACAACAGGTTTAAGCCAATCAAAACCTGTATACTATCAGACCACATGCTCAAGACCTAAGAGCTGGGGTTCAACAGGTAACCAGATATATAGCACAGCCTCAATCACCTGTCCTGATCTCCAATCTAGTAACACATATTACTTACAGCTAAAACAAACAATCCACAACAGATGGTCACTCCCCATGGGAAGCCAAGGTGATCCACTGATATTCCACCCCCTGTTGGTCCAAGGAACGCTCTGGAAATACACATGGAAATACAAAATTTCACTAAGCTTATAAGTTATGAGATTTCTAAAATGTACTCTAAGTTATTAAGAAAACATTACTCCAAAGGGACTGTATGCCTGTCACTTGATCCTGCTAGAGATCATGTTGATTTTTCAGATTAGGTTCAAAATCAAACATGGGTAATGGATACTATAGCTAGGTATAAAAAGCTCTCAAATTTAAGCTGTCTTTTTTTGTGCAGATGACACTGTCGACATTGACACATTTGCTTCCCAAACTTCACAAATATTACAAAAGAATATATTTTATGTACGGTTATATCTATACACTGGAACTTACCCTAGTGAGAAACAGGAGTTAAATAGTCCTGACACCATTCCAAAGGTTACAAAATCTTCTTCAAATCCTATTTGGCTGAAAAAGAAGGATGTAACATTCATTCACTACCCTTAAATTGATAGAAGCGTTCACCCCTCAGGGCTGAGATAGGGAAATCTGAAGCTTTCACCCCCTGGGGCTGAAATAGGGAAATCTTAAGCTTTCACCCCCTTGGGACTGAGATAGGGAAATCTGAAGCTGTCACCCCCTTGGGACTGAGATAGGGAAATCTGAAGCTGTCACCCCCTTGGGACTGAGATAGGGAAATCTGAAGCTGTCACACCCTCGGGGCTGAAATAGGGAAATCTGAAGCTGCCACCCCTCAGGGCTGAGATAGGGAAATCTGAAGCTGTCACCCCTCAGGGCTGAGATAGGGAAATCTGAAGCTTTCACCCCCTGGGGACTGAGATAGGGAAATCTGAAGCTGTCACCCCCTTGGGACTGAGATAGGGAAATCTGAAGCTGTCACACCCTCGGGGCTGAAATAGGGAAATCTGAAGCTGCCACCCCTCAGGGCTGAGATAGGGAAATCTGAAGCTGTCACAACCTCGGGGCTGAAATAGGGAAATCTGAAGCTTTGACCCCCTGGGGCTGAAATAGGAAAATCTGAAACTTTTACCCTTTTGGGACTGAGATAGGGAAATCTGAAGCTGTCACCCCCTTGGAACTGAGATAGGGAAGTCTGAAGCTTTCGACTCTTAGAGGCTGAGATGGGGAAATCTGAAGCTTTCACCCCTTTGGAGCTTTGAGATGAGGAAATCTGAAGCTTTCACCCCTTTGAGCTGAGATATGGTATCTCAACCCAAGGGGATATCTTAAGTTGTCAAACACGAGGCTTTGCAACTTAAGAATCTTCCCCTTTGGGTTGAGATTTTTCTATCTCACTCAATGGTGTAAATGACTGTTTTTCTCAAACCCTGTTGACCCTGTCATATACATATCAAAAGTTGAAGTTTCAGGCTCAATCCATTGTGGACTGACAACATCTTACTGTTGACATGCTGTCATATGATTGTTTTGACTTGGGTCTCCCCAGTCTCAACCCTAAGGTGAGACAAGGATTTCTCTTACCCTGGACAGGTGTATCCTTACTTTTACCGGTGTGGGATTTCCTTGTCTCGCCCTAGGGTTGAGACAAGCTACACGTGCTCTTTGCACATTCTCCACAATAAACCCGATGTCACTGATGTGACCCGGAAGAAGAATTACTTTTATATGGTCACACACATACACAAGTTCGTCTGCTAATCTTGTCATGTTTACATTTGACATCAAAGAAGATTGGATTGATTTAAAATGTTTAAAATATGATTCGTGAGCCATCCGACGCATACATATAATATCAATACGCTATCCACGTGTTCCTGTTTACAAACAATATGCTTCATCTTACACTTGGACAGGAACAACAGGGTAAGAGAAAAATAATCATTCACCCCTTCGGGAATGAGATAGGGAGATCTCAACCCTCGGGGGGGGGGAAGATTCTTAAGTTGTTAAACACTCGGCAAATCCTCATGTTTGGCAAATCAAGAATCTTCCCCCCTCGGGTTGAGATCCCCCTATCTCACCCCCAAGGTGATGAAAGATTTTATTAATCTCACGCCGGGAACATCTGCCCAGAGTAATAGACAAGGATATCTAACACCGGGAACATCTGCTCAGGGCAATAGACAAAGATATATAACACCGGGAACATCTGCTCAGGGCAATAGACAAAGATATCTCACACCGGGAAGATCTGCCCAGGGTAATAGACAGGGATATTTCACACCGGGAACATCCGCCCAGGGTAATAGACAGGGATATTTCACACCGGGAACCTCTGCCCAGGGTAATAGACAATGATATCTAACACCATGAACATCTGCCCAGGGCAAGATACAAAGATATCTCACACAGGGAACATCTGCCCAGGGTCAGAGACAATGATATCTCCCACCGGGAACATCTGCCCAGGGCAAGAGACAATGATATCTTACCCTGGGCAGATGTTTCCGGTGTGAGATATCCTTGTCTCTTGCCATGGGCAGATGTTCCTGGTGTGAGATATCCTTGGCTATTACCCTGGGCAGAGGTTCCCGGTGTGAAATATCCCTGTCTATTACCCTGGGCGGATGTTCCCGGTGTGAAATATCCTTGTCTATTTCCCTGGGCAGATGTACCCTGTGTGAGATATCATTGTCTGTTACCCTGGGCAGATGTCCCCGATGTTAGATATCATTGTCTGTTACCCTGGGCAGATGTCCCCGATGTTAGATATCATTGTCTATTACCATGGGCAGATGTTTCCGGTGTGAGATATCCTTGGCTATTACCCTGGGCAGATCTTCCCGGTGGGGGATATCTTTGTCTATTACCCTGGGACGATGTTCCCGGTGTGAGATATCTTTGTATCTTGCCCTGGGCAGATGTTCATGGTGTTAGATATCATTGTCTGTTACCCTGGGCAGATGTACCCTGTGTGAGATATCATTGTATCTTACCCTGGGCAGATGCTCCCGCTGTGAGATATCCTTGTCTATTTCCCTGGGCAGATGTTTCCGGGGTGAGATATCCTTGTCTCACCCTAGGGTTGAGACTGGGCGGATGTTCCCGATGTGAGATATCCTTGTCTATTACTCTGGGCAGATGTTCCCGCTGTGAGACAAGGATATCTCACACCAGGAACATCTGCCCATGGTAAGAGACAATGATATCTAACATCGGGAACATCTGCCCAGGGTAATAGACAAGGATATTTCACACCGGGAACCTCTGCCCAGGGTAATAGACAAGGATATCTCACAGCGGGAACATCTGCCCAGGGAAAGAGACAATGATATCAAACACCGGGAACATCTGCCCAGGGTAAGAGACAATGATATCTCACACCAGGAACATCTGCCCATGGTAAGAGACAAGGATATCTCACATCGGGAACATCTGCCCAGGGTAATAGACAATGATATCTAACATCGGGAACATCTGCCCAGGGTAAGAGACAATGATATCTAACACTGGGAACATCTGCCCAGGGTAAGAGACAAGGATATCTCACACCAGGAACATCTGCCCAGGGTAATAGACAAGGATATTTCACACCGGGAACCTCTGCCCAGGGTAATAGACAATGATATCTCACACCAGGAACATCTGCCCATGGGAAGAGACAAGGATATCTCACACCGGGAACATCTGCCCATGGTAAGAGACAAGGATATCTAACACCGGGAACATCTGCCCATGGTAAGAGACAAGGATATCTCACACCGGGAACATCTGCCCATGGTAAGAGACAATGATATCTCACACTGGGAACATCTGCCCAGGGTAAGAGACAAGGATATCTCACACCGGGAACATCTGCCCAGTCTCAACCTTAGGGTGAGACAAGGATATCTCACACCGGGAAAACAGTAAATGCATCTGCCCAGGGTAAGTGAATACCAAATCTGTGTGCACTTCAACTACATAAAACATATTTGTCAAGTTCATCTAGTTTGCACAAAGAAGCCGAGTTTTTCGCTCTCAAGTGTTTATTTTGAAATCATCACAATTCCCTAGATACCTCATCACATGGAACAGTTTAATCTTTTAATCTATGGCATTTGTTTTTTATTTCTTTATTATATTACTTAATTACTTTTACAATAACTATGAAACAAGTTATATCAACTTATAGTATGTCAAATCTATATATATAGAAAAGGAGTGTACTGCTATATTAGTAATGTATCATACCTCCTTACAGATCAAGTTTTCATGGACCTTCCTTAACCCTTTCACCCCTAGTTAACTTGAGTAGACTCTACCATGCATTCATCTGGGTGAGTCCATGATGGTCTACTGTGGTGAAAGAGTTAATCTAACCACTTTTAAGCTACAGTACATTGAATTAAACTGCAAATATAAACAATAAACTGTTCAAAATATACACCATCAACTTGTCAACAAGTAGGCTATACTTACAGGGCACCATCTAGTAATGTTCTAAAAGTAGGAATCAAAGCACAGCCCAGGAAAACTCCAAGAAAGGCACAGCCAAGGATCTGTGTCCACAACGCGCTATAATGTTGAATATATTTATACAGTTAAAAGAGGTAAGAAAATATTCACAAGAACCAATGTCCAAAAAGTTCATGTACTAGTACTCTCTCAGTTTAGCAGGATACCTTATGGTGTACAGAGCCCTCAGAAATATCAGAATGAAAGTTAACGGAAGAGTAGCAACTACTGAAGAATATACTTCAGTGATCGAGTCAGAATTCAACAGGTGCTACTCATTTCTACTTTCATTCAATATTTTAACAATTGGTTCTTTGAGAATCTTTCTGCAACCATTGCATTTTTTTATTACAACAGGATGGAGAAATGAAGCTGCAGTGATAAAACAAGAAGTTATTATCCAGAAATTGTATGTGAATGACCATAATCATTAATCAATATAAAAAAAACAATAACCTTGTATATCAATGATGACGCTTACATAAATAAAACACCAATACAGTTACACGTAGCCATGACAGACAACACATATTCAGAACTTCAAGGCCCTTCTTGCTTTTCTGTAACTACATCAGATGCTGTCTGTTAAGCAGACCAAACCTAGGGAATTAAACACATGCTATATATTATAGGTATTGCTGACAAGTTAACAATAATACTTACAATGGAAAAAACGGGACGAGAGGGGATGGGCCTAGCATTAAGAAAGCTATGGACATGGCAAAATTTCCAATAATTATCAGTGTCTTTGGTATTTTCTGCAAAAGGTGGAAAAAAGTATAATAACAAGTTATGATAATTAATGATGAACATATGCTTGTATAAAAATATCCTGCCTATAGTATACAGCACACAAATATTTTACTAAAACAGTTCACAAGCATGATCATTGTCACTACAAAATCTGTCCAGTGTGACCTTTGTCACTAAAAAATCTGTCTGGTGTGACCTTTGTCACTAAAAAATCTGCCAGGTGTGACCTTTGTCACTAAAAAATCTGTCAGGTGTGACCTTTGTCACTACAAAATCTGTCTGGTGTGACCTTTGTCACTACAAAATCTGTCCGGTGTGACCTTTGTCACTACAAAATCTGTCAGGTGTGACTTTTCTCACTACAAAATCTGTCCAGTGTGACCTTTGTCACTACAAAATCTGTCAGGTGTGACCTTTTTCACTACAAAATCTGTCCTGTTTGAACTTTGTCAATAAAAGGTCTGTCACATGTGACCTTTGTGACTGACTACAAAATCTGTCCGGTGAGACCTTTGTCACTGCAGGTCTTTCAGGTGTGACCTTTGACCTTACCCTATGACCACTATATAATGAGGTGAGGAAGTTGATGTTACCGTACAATTGTGTTAATAGACAGATCTTTTGCAGTAGCTTTTTAACTTCAAAAGTGGTCAAGCATGATTGCTGACCCCTTAACCTTTACTGATGACCAAAACAATCTAATGAGATGTAAACGTTAATGTTACCATACCATGGTGTAAATATAAATAATATGTGTTCATGTGTTCAAGAGATATCTCATACAGAAGCTGTTTGTTATAGAAGATGGATGTATGAACACAATGATGACTAGATACCCCACCTTACCCCTAACAACATGTAAGTAGAAAGTGTAAGTTTTACTTACTTTAGTGTCTCCTATCCAGCCTACCAGTGGTGCTGTCAGAGCGTACAGCCCTGGGCCTATTAGGAACATTAGACCAATCTGTATCACAGTCAGGTTCAGCTAAACATAAAAGTAATCAATTGCTTAGTAATCAACCAAATCGCTTCAATCTTATTTCTTCTAATGTTTTAATAGTATTTTTTTTCATTTTTTTTTTTAGACCTATGTCATACCAATATTAATGCTGACTTTTCAGTTTTATTATGAATGAAACATCAATAATTCTTCATTTCGAAAGCTAAGTTCTAATGATAAGTTAATTATATTTTGTTAAGCAATTAATTTCCAACCTAAAATAGGAAACATCTGAATAATAAAACATGTGTGTTATTTTCGCCTTTGTAATCTGAAAAAGAGGGTGACCATGACGGTGAACAAGAGGGTGAACAAGAGGGTGACCATGAGGATAAACAAGAGGGTGAACATGAGGATAAACAAGAGGGTGACCATGCCGGTGAACAAGAGGGTGAACAAGAGGGTGACCATGACGGTGAACAAGAGGGTGACCATGACGGTGACCATGAGGATAAACAAGAGGGTGACCATGAGGTTGACAATGAGGGTGAACAAGAGGATGATGGTGAGGGTAAACAGGGGAGGGGGGTGAGCATGAGTGTGGCCAAGAGGGTGACAAGGAGAGTGAACAAGAGGATGACCATGAGGGTGGCCAAGAGGGTGGCCAAGAGGGTGAACATGAGGGTGAGAAAGACGGTGACCATGAGGGTGAACAAGAGGATGACCATGAGGGTGACCATGAGGTTTAACAGGAGAGTGACCATTTGGGTCAACAAGAGGATGACCATGAGAGTGAGCAAGAGGGTGACCATGAGGGTGACCATGAGGATGAACAAGATGATGACCATGTCGGTGATCAAGAGGGTGAGCAAGAGGGTGACCATGAGGGTGAACAACAGGATGACCATGACGGTGATCAAGAGGGTGAGCAAGAGGGTGATCAAGAGGGTGAACAAGGGGGTGAGCAAGAGGGTGACCATGACGGTGAACAACAGGATGACCATGACGGTGAACAAGAGGGTGAGCATGAGGATAAACAAGGGGGTGACCACAAGGGTGGCCAAGAGGGTGACCATGAGGGTGACCATGAGGGTGAACAAGGGGTTGACCACAAGGGTGACCAAGAGGATGACCATGAGGATGTCTATGAGGTTGAACTAGAGGGTGACCATGAGGTTGGACAAGAGGGTGACCATGAGGATGTCCATGAGGTTAAACTAGAGGGTGACCAGTAGGGTAAACAAGAGGGTGACAATAAGGATGACCACGAGGGTGACCATGAGGTTGAACAAGAGGATGACCATGAAGGTGACCAAGAGGGTGACCATGAAGATAAACAAGGGGGTGACCACAAGGGTGGCCAAGAGGATGACCATGAGGTTGAACTAGAGGGTGACCAGTAGGGTAAACAAGAGGGTGACAATAAGGATGACCAAGAGGGTGACCATGAGGTTGAACAAGAAGCTGAGCATGAGGGTGACCAAGAGGGTTACCGTGAGGGTGACCATGAGGGTGACCAAGAGGGTAACCATGAGGGTGAACAAGAGGGTGACCATGAAGGTGAACAAGAGGGTGACCATGAAGATAAACAAGGGGGTGACCACAAGGGTGGCCAAGAGGGTGACCAAGAGGATGACCATGAGGTTGAGCAAGAGGATGACCATGAGGTTGAACAAGAGGATGACCATGAAGGTGACCAAGAGGGTGACCATGAGGGTGAACAAGAGGTTGAAAAACAAAAGGGTGACCATGGGGGTGAACAAAAGGGTGAGAGTAACATTAAAGTCATCGATAGTGTCATGAAGTTTTTAAATAATGGTAGGGTGAATTCTACATCAGGTAAGTTTCTCTTAAAATGTTTGAGGGCAAACATTTGGCAGGGTAAATATTACACCATTTTATGTAACCATACCTCTTTGAGATGATTAGCAAAGGTAGGGTCGAAGAATCCCAGAGTGTAAGCACCACAAACAATACACACGGCCGTTATAACACACAATGGGCTCTTCAAAAGTGTCAACATGGACCTTTTGTTCTCATTTCCAGAATCTGAAAAGGTACATAAAAAATCTGTAATATTACATTATACAGAAAGAAAACTAATATTCACCTGAATAAAACACATGAAGCCAATAACATGTCATTTATTCATTACTATTTAAATAACTGAAACTTCAACATTTTTGCAAATTTCCAACAAGGTGTTTCTATACAACAGAATCATTCAACGCGCTTCATATTTTCATATTTTTAGGCCACAATTAAATATCACCAATAATACAATCTGTATCACAAATTTGTGAAATTTTTCAACTCACCATTAATTTTTGGCATGGTGAAGGAGCAAATGATTGCACACGTAATGAGAATGGATCCCATGACAAAGAAAGGAACTCCATACCCGCCTACCTGTAATGTAAAACAAACTAGTAAAGGAAACCATATACATGGAGGTACTTGGTGGTGAGCTGAGGGGGGACTATACAT